TAGCGGGGGTTAGAGAACCTTAGGGCTTTCACCACCAAATATAGCCAACAATTTGCCCTAGATAAGGCTAAGAATGTCAAAGTACTAAAGGATAGTCTGGCCCGAGCAGTGGATGAGAGGAATCAATTTGACAGGATTAGCCAGAGAGACCCTGGAGCATTTGGCTAGCAAGTGCTATCAGGACCAAGTAGTTAGACAAAGCTTAAACAAAATGTCTAATGAAGCCATGCATATTGGCACAGAATTGTGCAAGTACGAAATATGTTGTGGCTCCAATCATTACATTCATCAGGTTGACATTCCTGATGGACGCAGCCTGTGGTTGACCAACGACATGTGCAAGGTGTAGTAATTGTAAGAGTAAACAGAGTAAAAGTGCTAAGCTTTATTCAACTAAATGAAACTCAGCTACAAAAGGAAAATAGGAGTTACAAGTTAAATAGCCAACTGGGGCGAGTTCATTGCTTGTACATGGTGAACATAGGATACTACTACTACCACAACATCAAAAGTAATTATATATATATATATATATATATATGAAGAAATATAGTCTTAAGGTGTGCTATATTTATGGGATAAAGTACTCAATATCAGAGATAGAGCGTGTGTAAATATAAAAGTGCACATAGAAGCGACAGTCTGTTTCATGCTATATGCAATCGTCATACGATACGACAATTGCATATAGCATGAAACAGACTGTCGCCTCTAAGTGTTGACTTCTATGTTCACTTTTATATTTATATATATATATAACATTCATAAATTAATACATGCATATATGGTTTGCTCTGAAATAATTACATAATTGCCATGCTGTTTCCATGCTAGATTTTATCTACGTATTTAGTTGAATAAATTGTAGTCATTTTAAGAGTAAACAGAGCTAAAGACAATAGTAAAAGTGCTAAGCTTTATTCAACTAAACAAAACTCAGCTACAAAAGGAAAATAGGAGTTACAAGTTAAATAGCCAACTAGGGTAAGTCCATTGCTTGTACATGGTGAACATAGGATACTACTACCGCATTCTTCATTCCTAGAAAAATGTAGCATTACCATCCATAATGATTTGGGGGTCTTGTTGTCCATTCAGGTCTCCAGCATTATCTCCATTATACGGTATGGGGACACCAAGAGTACTCCTATTTTGTTCCACAGTGGGGGACTCAGAGGTAATTCTGCTTTTGGGCAGTGTGCTAAATCACGAACAGATACAGTAGACTCCCTTCTATCTGTATACTTTATGTTGGCATAAGTTGGATTACTTTCTAAGAGTTCAACTTGGTCCACATAAGGATCAGTTTTACTATTTATGAACCTCCTTAATAATATTGGAACTGGTGACATTAGCTAGGCTGGGAGAGAACTCCCATGTGATGTACAATAAGAGAATGCAATGCTCGTGAGGAGCTGTATTTGTAGAAGTACATAGCAGCAATCTTATAGAGTATAGCACGTCAGGAAGCACCAATTCTCAGTACTTCTCAGCTATGTTTCATGATCTAACAGCTAACTGAATCACCTTCCATATAGTGCCGTTAAATCATTCAACCAGTGCATTCCCAGTTGGATGATATGGAGTGGTTTTACTTGTTGCAACCCCTTTTTGGGAGAGGTAGTCTCTCAATTCCTTAGACATGAAAGACACATCTCTGTCACAGTGTATGTAGATGAGCATCCTAGCTAAGCTGAACAAAAGATTTAAGGATTTGATTACTGAGGTAGTGTACATATTTGGACATAGGAAAAATAATGGAAACTGAGTATTCGTCAATTACTACCAGTAAATATGTCTCGCGCATGGCAGAAGGAATGGTTCCCTTAAGTTAATACTTAGTCGTTTCATGGGTCTGGTCCCCTTGATAAGAGTGTTTTCTGGCAAGTTATAGAAACGAGGTTTAATTTCTGCACAGATTCTGCAAGAAGCATACACCTTTTTTTACCTCCTCCATAGAAAAAGGAAGATTTTTCTCTCTAACAAAATGTAGGAGTCTAGTAACTCCTGGGTGGCATATACCATTGTGAATCTCAGTAAGGGCAGAACTGTTAATGGTAAAACAAGCATAAGCTCAACGAAGTGCATCGGGAACTACATTCTCCTTGCCAGGGCAGTATTTTATCATGTAGCTGTTATAGACAAGCGTATGTTTGCAAGAAAGAAATACGACAACAGTAGAAATAGATTTACGTGATTTATTTCAGGAACGTGTGGTTTTGGGACAGCTACCTTGTGGTATAGTTCATAAGCCGGCTGAAGATCTGGGTTGATCTCTCATAGTAGTTCTCGCTGGTTGGCGTGGCGCTACTGCTGCTGACGGCTGCTGACCGCTCAGCCTGACCGTGACAGGTCTCTTCCCTGGCCTCCTGTTGACTGCCCTTGTACTTCCGTGTGACCCCTTTTATGGCGTTTTTTTTATGGCTTAACAGGCTCAAAAAACGACACGAGTATAATTAGGAGGGAAGTATTTTTATTGGTCGAAAAATAGAAACACTTTAAAATATTATTTTATTTTTCGACCGGAACATGCGTAAACAAAGATAATGGTCATTTTGTGACGGGGCCTTGTCCCGTTCACATCCGGCTCTCGCTCTTGAGTATGTTTATTTGCCTGTAAATCAGCCGAGATATGTCTTATTTTATTTTATAACAAATATTTAGATAATGTATTGATATTTTGTATAATACGTGTTTGACGGCAAAACAGACGATAATTTTTGTTGCCGCTCTTTTTCTTGGAATTGGAAGCTGCAGACCACTCCTTTTTATTAGAGGATTTTCGGTCGTTTAAGACGTTTTTTATTCTGGCCCTAATTCTGGTTAACTAATTAAGTTTATCACGTAAAATAAAGTGTTACCTTTAAATTCGACTTACAATATCGAATTATTTACCTTTTATAGAGTTAACTCAAACTGTTAATAATGATTTAACTTTTAATAGTTATATTACTGGTTTTATTTATGGATTGGAAGAGGGGAGGGCGAGTTTTCGCATCGAAGGACTTTGTGAGAAAATTTTATTAGCTTCGGTAGAATTAATTTCCTAGAAGGGGGAATTATTGCATTTGATTTATTTGTTGACTCGGAGAGTCAACGTTTCTTTTTGTTTGGCAGAGTCGTTCGATGCGGGGAATTCTGCCCCTATTCACATTCTTTACTTTATAAGATTTAAGGATATTCTTCATGGAATAAGATTAAGAAGATTTTAAGATCCTAGACTGGGTTAGGCTTTGTGTTTTATAATTTTTACACTTTCAGCTCCTGAGGAAGTGAAAAAGAGTTTCAGAAGAAGAAAAAGAATAAGAAAAGTGTTAGAAGAAAGAAGATAATAAGATTTGAAGTAACTGCTATGTTATAACATTAACTTGTTTATTGTAAAGAAAAAGTTAAAAAAAAAGATGTTTTTAAAGATTTAAGTTGTCTGCTTGTTTAGACTGATATTATTCATGTTGTAAGTAAATCCGTTTTTTATTTCTATTTTTTGTTCATCATTACTTTTCGTTACTACTTAACATATGGAATAATGCATGTAACTTTTTTTTTTAAGAATAAAGATTTACCTGTGAACATAATTTTAAGATCGTCTGCTTCTTTGAGTAGTTTTGTTGTTAGTTTCCTATGAAGAAGCCGAGAACAAAATCGGCAGTTTTAGTCTTCTTGTGTATTAGTTTTTTTTTTATTTATTTATAATTTAAATTAATGTAAGATCGTACACGGGTAAAATTTGGATTTGATTGAGAATTTAATTTTTCATTTAAATTTGGGTTTTTAACATCACCTAACTCACCGACAAACAAGAGGATGATATTTTTTCTTCAACGACAACCTGCCGAGATCGGTAAAGAAAACCTAGACTCCGAAAAAATAACTTCTCGTTGTACTGAGTCGGAGGAAATAAAGTCCATGTGGTCAGGTAACTGGTAAACCGTAAACATGAAACTCGGTCGGAGACAATTGATAATTTGAAAGATTGAGTAAAAAAACATTTATTCACCAAATACGAAACAATTTTTTTTTGGGGGGGGGGATTTTTTTTGTTTGAGGACAACACTCGTGCGAAGTAAGTCACAAACCGAATATTGTCAAAATATGACAAAAAGCCATCATATACAAAAACAAAAAAAAAACACCGAAATTTACCTTACAATTTTTAATTTATTGATGATGACGGTCAACTTCATCACCACACCATTTAAGGTACGCTCGACAGGAGGGCTTCAATTAAATTTCGATTTGATGAGGAGGGCAAGACTATTTTTTTATTTTGCAAAGTTTTTTTTTACGAAGACTGTTTTTGCACGACCAATATGCGAATCCCCCCACCCAAAAAAAACCTCGAGAAATTAAACTAAAGGCTTCGAATCCCGATTACCTGTTTCGAAAATACTTTACGTTACAATACATAATTTTATGTCAATAAAAATAGACATAGTTAAAAAAAAAATCAAGTACAGAAAAATCACAACTACTGTTACAGTACACAGACACTTGGTATGAAAAGAAGTTAGTGGGGACAAGAAAGAAAAAAAATAGAAAATGGAAAGAAAAAAAAAGGAACGAAGAAACCGGTTTTAAAAAATAAGAAAATACGCCCATCTGAGACGAGTAACGTTTCTCAATCATAAGCAGATCACACTTAGAATTGCAATCTGCTAGTTGTGTTTTTTCTTTACTTGACATTTTGTGTCCGTTTTTATTGTCATAATTAAATTACCGCTACCCAATATGACTTTTAATTCAAAAAAAAACCTAAGCAAGCTACAAACATAACGTCATTACCTTATTTTTGCATGTTAATTATAAACACTTCTTTTGAAACCAATATTTGCTTGTTTTTTGGGGTTTTTTTTAATTACCATTTTTACATGGTACTGAGTAAATTAAATAGCCTTAATGTTGGGTGTTGTGTTCACAAATTTGAGTGGATTCTTATTTGTGAAAGCAATAAATAAAGTGATTATTAAAGAAGAAGGTGGCGCTTCAAAGGGAAGCAATCAATGTTTACTATTCAAAGCTGCCTCAGCACATCGTTAATAGTTGAGAAGGCGGCCGACGGAGGCTCAATGTTCGTCTCGGATTCTTTGGTCTTTCCGCCTTCGACTATGAAGGTTCGAATCACTAATATGGAAGGGGTTGATATCCTCGAGGATTTTCGTCCCGATGCTACTGTTGATATGGTGAAAATCCGTTCACTCAGTCAACTTTTCAGTCCAATGGAAAGCATGAAAGTATCACTTTATCACAAAGTTTTACTTGTCAGAACTGGAAAAGTCCTTAATGAAGAGTACACCCTGCAACAAGAAGGTCTAAGAGACAATGGTAAAAATATTTCGATTGTTAACTTGTGCATCTTAAAACTGAAAAGTATACATTTCCTTTTATCTTTTTACAAATTTACTTGTTTTATTTGTATTTTTCATCTTAAAATTAAAATCGACCCTCTCATTTTATTAATTTTTCCTCTATTTCATTTGTAGCTGTGTTAAAAACTCAATCGTTTTTGTTTTTTCTCAATTAAGAATTATTACTTTTTAGATAATTTTAATATGGTGGATACTACAAAAAAGTGATAATAGAAAATAAAAGCTTACAGGTTTCTTTTTCGCTAGGTTCACATTCCACTAATGTTCGTATCTCTAATTTACACGTTTTGGACTAAAACCGCGCGCAAAAAAATAAATAAATAAATAAAAAAAAGCAAAAAAAAAAAGCGAGATATTCGAAATTATTTAGAACTTTCTTGTTATTGCTTTATTAGTTTATACTTTTTGTTTGCTTTTGAAATGTACTTTTTTTTTTCTTTTTTGGTGTGCCTCGAAAAATGCTAAGGAAATACATTTTTTTATTCTTTCCGGATTTGAAGAGTTTCTTCTGCTCGGACTTGCATTTTTAGTTTGTACAGAAGATTTTTTTTTTTTACTTACCCAGTGTCAAAATAAAACCTTTTGTTATTAAACGAATTGAAATCTTGTGTAATTCTTGTACAACATTGATTTCCTGTTTCGCGTTTTCACAAGAAACCTAAATGACGTAAATATCAGTTTTAGTCTCTTCTTCGTCAGTTACAAATGGCCGTGACTTGTAAATAGTGGAATTTTGCTAAAACTTAAAATACATAATCTTTCTCTCTCAAAAACAACGACTGAATAATTGAGAATGCATTCAGCTACATTTTTTCTTTTAGTTTTCTTAATTTCTACTTTCTTTGTTCCTTTAAAAGTTTAAACAATTTCATTCAAAACGCAGATCAGTTCGTTTTTTCAATTTTCATTTTCAATAATAAAAAATCTGTTATTTTTGTTTTAATTAAAAATTTCACCAAAACCTTTTTACGTTTGTTTATTCGGTAAATGACAAACAAATGTTTCTGCGATTTAAAACGATCTTTTCTGATCATGCTTTATTTTGAACTTTTTTGGCTACGTAATTTTTTATAGGCGTATTCGAGGTCTTCAGTATTGTATTGACCAACAATTGAATAACTACTTGGTAATCGAATAGATTTTGGCTTACAACTCAGACAAGTTTATTATTAAAACTAAAAGGTAGTAGGTGAAACAAACTAACAACTGCCACTATTAATAAAACAGTTTTCTCTTTAAGCTTCCTCAATCGTCCTTGTGTAAACTAAACAATGAAAAACAAAGCATCGGAATTTTAAAAAAAATAATTTTACTCTTTCATTAGTTTCGTTGTTTATCAACGTGTTCTTACCGTAGTGCAAGCTTTTATAATCGTTTTATTTTTAATTATTTATCTTGTGTGTAGCTAAGTAAATTTCTTCTGGAGAGGTTAAAAAAATTAATGCAAAAAAATTCAGAGGTCGCACTATTATACATACAGTTGGCTTACACAAATTTCACCGTTAGAAATAAATTCTTTAAACCATTTAACCAATTTTATTTTTTGCTTTTTTTGCGAAAATTAAAAAAAATGCTTTCTTAGTTTTGTCTTTTTGAGTTTAAGAAATTTGTTTTTATGTTCCCAATATTTTTTTTTTTTTTTTTTAATCTTGAATATTTAATATTCAACAAAAGCGGTAATTCAATATTATTTCCTTTTTAGCATTCATAAAAATTAACTTTTTTTTTTTTTCAAGATCCAATATACTTTTTATTTGACTTTTGCTAATAATAAACATCGAACAGGAATTGTGTTAAAAAAAAAATATATCCCTGTTTTTATTTTAAATAGCTATCCACACAAGTTCAAAATTGGGATTTCCAATTTCACCTAAGTTTTTGTATTGGGTGCCTGGTGAAGCCTTTTCACTTTGAGTAAGAAATTGCTGCTTCTCCCTTCTACTGGACTTTGTTCGCCCTGTCGGCTGGGGCAGTAGACTGCATCACTGCAGAGGGGTAAGACCCCCCCCCACCCCAATGAGGCTACCTGTTGGCCATGGGTGGCAACTTGTAAAGTGCTACGACTGGTGGTTGAGCAGTCATTGATCAGTGGTCAATGGCTTGCAACATTCCCTCTTTGTCCCTTACTTGGTCTGTTGAATAGGCATGATCCAATCAGTCAGCTGGTCCCGTCATACCCTAGCACATGTATCTTTCTTTTCTCCCGAACATACTATTCAATCTACTCGCGGAACAAACCAAACCCCCAACCCTTTATCTTATATGTGTTAGAAGGCAGGGGTTGAGGGTCAATTGTGTTAAGAGGAAAAAGACTTTTTGACCCTGTTAGATTGTTGTGTAATAAAAACCAGAATTTGGCAGAGGCTCAGAATCTTGCTCTTGACATGAGTATAGTGGTATTGTATCCCCATCTCAGCCAAGGGTGAATGGGTTTCCTCCTTGGTTCATTCCCAACACAAGTTGGGCTCCATGGTGGAGCATAGGACCAATGAAAAATATATACATTCCTTCAAAAAATCCAAAAGATATTTATCAGATTCCAACTCGGTGATTGAAACAGATTATTCAAGATTCATTATTATTGAATCATTAGAGGAAATCAAATTGGATAAGTTACCACCTTTCTTGATAGAGAAAATCATATCAGGTAGGTTGAATACAAAAAACGTAAAAAAAACTTTGAAATGGTAACTTGCTAGTGGAAGTTGAAACAAAAACGTGGAAAATTTACTCGAAATGGATAAATTTTACATCAAATGTAGAAAGTATCCACACGAAAAATTAAATATTAAAATATGTTATAAGAAGCTGTAAACTTTTGGTAGAAATTGAAAGGGTGTTAAAAAAAACAGGGTGTAAAGGAATATAAGAGAATATCTTTTCGAAGAAACTGATATTATAGAGACCCATACATGTTTACTAATGTTTGTAAACCCATAATACCAAAAGAAATCAGGATTGGCTAAACTATAGAAAAGGTAGAGCAATTTATACCAGCACACCTGCAGTGCTTCAAATATCAAAAATTTGGACATCACAAAGACATTTGCAGAAGATGCCAAGTGTGTGAAAAGTGTTGTGAATGTGATCCAAGTCGCACAGAATGAATGCAGTAATGTGAAATGCACTAACTACCATGAAGAACACTCTGCCTTTTCAATGATCTGTGATATCTACAAGAGAAAAAAGGAAATAATGTACGTAAAGCACACAAAAAAATACCTTTCCTAGAAGCCAGAAAAATTGTTGAAAGCTATATGGGTCATTCCATGTCAATTCACCAGGGCATTACACCCACTGACACTGAATTGAAATTTGGCACAAATGTTCCCCTTCATGAGTTAGGAAAGTGTGCCAAATTATTTTGTGTTAGACTTTACCGTTCCAATTTTAAGTGGGGGTGTATAATTTTCCAATTTTACCTCTAAATTAAGGCCACGCAACAACGCCAAATTTCAGTGTTTTTTAAAAATTAAAGAAAAATACTTCCATACCTTCAATATTTATGAAATTTGGTACGTAGGGTAAATAAGAAGTGTAGAATCCAAATATTTAACTATTTCAAGCCTACATTTGATAGAAAATTTTATTTTGCTCATCCTAATACATGACCCCAAAATTAACTACTTTTCACCTATGTAGCTTACGGTCAGTCTATCAAAAATACATCCTCTTCAATTTTCATAATATTTTTTGCCTAATATCTACAATGCCTGCTCAAGTTCACCAAAACATTTTGTGAGGGTTTTATGTCTACTTTAGAAGATATAACCCTGCCAAGTTTAGAGTTTTTTCCTATGTATGTGCAGGATTTCCGAGAAAGATTATAATTAAAGACAATTATCCTAATGCTCCATGACCTCTAAAATGTTGATATTGTGCTAAGTAACTTCTTAAACTATTCAATAAGATTGTTTTTATTAATTAAAAAAAAATTATTTAAATATATTTTGCCGATATTACTTTTTGTACAGATAGATTGTCTTTAAAAAGCGGTAAACATTGCCTCATGTATGATAATCAACAGTGCATAGAAAATTTCTAAATGGCACTTAACAAATGAAGTTATAAGAAATTCTTTCTGTTTGTATTTCTTTTAATTTTATTTTGGTAAATTATTTTCATGAAACAAAAAAACATTTGATTTTTTTTTTCATTCTCAAAAAAGTCACAAGATAAATGTGAATCTTTAAAACAATATTTGTAGTTGGCTCTTAACATATTTATATCGTTGAAGGAAATGCTTTCATTACTTTTTTTAAATTTTCATTTTTTAAATAATGTTTCAAAATTATTTTCATGAAACAAATATTTGAATTTTGTTTCATTCAGAAGAAAATCATAATAAAAATGAATATACAAAGAGTCTTTAAATGATTACATTTAAACTACACTATGCACTAAATTTTGTTGTGCATATAGACTAAATTGTTTTGGATATAATTGTTTGCAAAGATAATTTATCCATCTTGCACAAATGATAAACTACCATTTATTATAGTAGTAACATCAACAGTGCACAGAATATTCATTAATGGTACAAAACATATCCTTAAAATTTTCTTTCCAGTAAAATGAATGTGATGGAAGAGCTGGGTGCATGGACTTAATCTGCCAAGTCCTTATTTTCAATATCAATTTCCTGGACCAAATTTTATTGTCGCACTTGCAATAAACATATCCTAAAACAAAAGAATTTACTGGTTTTTCTTCAATCCCAATAGAAAAGTCATATATTAGGTCATAGTTTTCATCTTCGCTACATTGTTTCATAGCTATTTTATCTCTGGTGAGTGGAATAAATTGATGAAAACTTCTTGTTCCTGGGACTGTGGATGCATTTTTGAATCTCATGGTGAGACTCCTCCTCACTTCCTCAACTTCTTCCTTTTCAAACAGAACGAATTTGTTACCTTCAATTGCATATTTACAATATTCAAACATAGATTCTGTGGAAAGGATTTGTTTGGTAGCTGGTCTTCATAGACTTTCTTTTGACACTATCCTTTTCACTGTCCCACCTATGCCATCCCATGGTTGTTTACCATGACTTGTTGCAAAGAAATTCCATTTTGCATTGGGCCCAAAATCTTTCTGATGGTCGCACAAATTGGCAAAGTTCTTATAATTCTTGTATTGCGCTGCACAACCATCAGTAAAATACTCAATATTTTTTATGTTTGGCATATTCGGCGATGTTGTGTAGCCTTAATTTAGAGGCAAAATAGGAAAATTATATCACCCCACCCCTGCACACACACACACACACACTTAAAATTGGAACGGTAAAATCTAGCACAAATAATTTGGCACACTTTCCTAACTCATGAAGGGGAAGATTTGTGCCAAATTCCAAGTAATTCGGTGTCAGTGGGTGCAGATTTCAACTTTTTACTGGTGTTTTGACATGGAATAACCCATATGGGAACAAAAACTTATGCTAATATAGTACAAAAAGCAAATCAAAAACCCCAGGGCATCACTCCAATAGATAAGTATAAAAAAGTTATAGAAAAATTAATAAATTTGAATACAAATGAATGGGCAGCATTCACAGAAAATCTTAAAAGAATGTATCCAACAGAAATAAAAACTGAGTTTTGTACAAAAACAAAATTAAATAATGATACCAATGTAGAAATGCCCATAGAAAATTCTAAGATGATGGAATCCACAAATGAAAAGCAACAAAGATCACCGATCCAACCTCCAGATATTAACAAAGACATAATTGAAAATAAAAGATATTGCTATTAAAAAACAAAACACTTTAAAAAAAAAAAAATTGCACAACCTGTCCTGATAAGCATATCAAACAAATTTGAGGAAATAGAGATTGAAAATAAAACTCCACAGACAAGCAAACCTCAAAACAAAAAATCTCACAAATCTCAAGAGGTTGATATGTTGTAAAACAAAATAACCAACTAACTCACAAACCTCAAAATTAAATTTAAATGAACTATATAATCCATTAGAATATTGGCGGATCAAGGGTCAATTATTCTGAATTGTTGCTGCTTATAAATAAATACTGCCCAGCAATCATATGCCTTCAATGGACTCACATCAAAAGCAACAATACCATCAACATTAAAAATCGCCACACATACAATTATATTAAACATCACACTGATAGACCTTGTGGTGGATCATCAGTAATCATTAATAATATCCCACACAGCGGAATCATGCTAGATACAAATCTGCAAGCAGCCACTATATCAGCAACCCTCCACAAGACACACTGTTATATTTCTCCAAGCAAACAATTCAAAGAATCAGAAGTAAATAATTTGATAGAACAATTCCAAAGACCTTTCATTATAATGGGAGACTTCAATAGCCACAATGAGATATGGGGAAGTAAGAAGACAGATAAAAAGGGCAAAATAATAAAGTCACTACTAAATAAACATCAGTTGTGCATATACAATAATAGATCAAACACATATCTGCATCCAGCAACAGGCACATACTCTGCAATAGATCTCTCAGTATGTGACCCCAAACTGTTTCTAGATTATGACTAGAAAGTACATGACACATGTGGAAGTGACCACTTTCCAATTCTATTGGAAAACAAAACCAATATATTAAAGAAAAGAACAATATTAAATAAAAGAGTTGGAATCTGTAAAAGGCTAATTGGGATGGATTTAAAACATCATGCTTTACCAAACTAACCCCAGAAGCCAATAAAAACAAAGAGGAAGACATTCTATACCAACAAACTATTAAATATAGCTGAAAGACATATACCAAAAAGCTCTACTTCTTCAAAATACAATAGAAAAAAACAGCAGAGCCAAAGCCTGAAAAATCATCAAAGACTCCAAACAAAATACATGGCAAAATTACGTTGCCAAAATAACACAAAACCAAAAAAAGTATGGGAGATGATTCAAAAAATAACTGGCAAAAATAGCAAGAATATTCACTACACAATCCAACATTGAATACAGTGACCAAATGTGTATGTATGTACGCAACGACACATGGATGTGCATATATACCCAGTCCTATACTGTTTACTTTTGTGTGAGCTACAGTTTGTGTGTGTGTGTGTGTTTGCGTACATCAATGGGTGTATGTGCGTGTATGTATGTTTAAGTATGAGTGTCATTCCGACAACAATTTTTCCTCCACCTTCTGTAAAAATACTGATATATGCAACCATATATAAATTCAAAATTTAAAAAATGAATCAGTTTGTCTGATGATCGCAAATAGCATGAAACCCAGGGTCACAAACTCGCATCAATCCAACTAATATATATATATATATATATATATAGATATATATACTACCAGACTATGCTAATATCCATTCCAAAACAGTGTCAGCATTAAATGACCCGCTAAGGTTGATATGCCGTAAAACAAAAGAACCAACCAATCTTCTGGACTTTGTAGCTTCTCTGATAATCTATCATAAAAATAAAACTGGAGTGTTTTTTATAAGTCTTAAAAATTTACATTGTTTTCATCTGTGGTGTCCCCCCACCAAATTGGATAGTTACCATAGTGTGAATTTTTATGAGCAGATTGTGTGTTGTTGTTTTTTTTTTGGGGGGGGGGCGTTCTGGAAAATTCAAGGGTTGCACTATAAATGAAGAAGTTGGCTTATATACATAAATAATACAGTATATAAAATTTGTCTGAAGCATTTTTATATTTTGAAATAATTTTTAATAAAAATACATGAACTTCTGGGTTTAACATTTAATTCATTTTTTTTTATTTAATCTTTCTATCAGAATACATAAAGAAAATTATTTTTACAAATATAGTCTTTACTCTTTATAAAAAATTCAGACATCTTCGAACACAACATTTAAATGTCAAATGAAGTAACAGTTATAAAATATTGTTGATTTTCTAATGGTAATTATTAATTTTAATATTTGGAACAAATTTAATGAAGCTGTTAAAATCTAAAAATTTTTAATTTGTTTGCATTGAGTATGGTCTGAAGCTTATAAAAAACACTTTCTATTGGAATAAAATGCATTTACTGGAAAATATTTAAAACATCAGTTTTAGAAGATTCATCTTTTTTTTTTATACATTATTATTAAGTATTTCTTTACATGAAGTTTTGTCTATTTTTGTCTAGATATAAATTAATTCATCAAACCTAAACCAGTACAAGAGGAAATGACATATTGTAAAATGTATATGAAATGACTAGTAAAAAAAGAAAATAACTCAATTTTTATTAAAATTTGAAAATATTGATTTAAAATGTGTTTAATTAACTCATGATTCAGTCTTATTTTAAAAAAAAGTTTTTAAAATATGACCCAAGATATGAGGAAAATATTAAGTGTTTTGAATTGTTTCCTCAACACCAAATTAGACATGTGAGGCAACAGCTTTTCTTTGAGCACTGGTTCAGCAATGAATGAACAATAAACATCAACCTGCATACACTTTTATTGCTGGAATTGTAATTTTATTATTATAACCTACCATAGCATGTAATTAAGACGATTATTTTCTGGAGGATAAGTACTGCAGCATAAAGAAAAATATCTTTGTAAAAGTTACTAGTGTGGATTTTACAAGTGAATCTATATAGTTGGAATGGAATTATGTTGATAAGTTAAATGCAAAAAGATGAAGCTAGATTGTTTGAGTTTTACTACTATACCAGAGGTACACTTTTTTATTCCCTATTTAAAATGGAATTTTAAATAAAAACTTTGGGAGTGAGAAAATGTGTAATGGTTGTTTATTTGAGACAAGAAACTCTGATAAAAGATATTTTTAGCCTAAAGCAAACAATTGCCTCAATGATATGACTAAACTTCCTTGGTGGGATATTAGAAAAACAAAATGACCATGAAATAGAATCCTAATGGACTAGAATTCTTTGGACAGAAATTCTTTGGACAGAAATTCTTTGAGGAGAAAATGATGGATTGCTGTTTGATCATTAATTTTTCTCCTCTGTGTTATAGGCAAGTAATTCATGAAAACAAAAAAATGTTGAGTGTAGCAGATGGAAAATGGATTTTGTACGAAAATGATATTCTGTAACCAGATAATGTTAAGAAAATCTAAGTGGTAATATAGCCAGTATGAACCAACCCTAAGAGTGGTAGTAAGATGTTCTTTAAATAATGGTTACATGAGTACTTGAATGGGAGATGTTGAAAAAGGTAAATTTTGAGAAAACTGGAACATTATAGAAATTTGGTTTCAATATTTTCCCATCCAAAATTTTCATGCATCGATTAATTAAAAAATCTCTTACCACCATTCTTTCTATTTACCAACCTCCCCAAAAGGCAAGATGTGGCACAAGGCTGATTTTTAACATGGGGCGTTCCAAGCCCATAGGCATGGGCAAAAATTGCCTGTAGATGCCGTATACACAGGGTCGGGTTTGTTTACCTCCTCTAACAAGACTGCCCTTCGGCATAGCTTCTTCTGGGTTCCACTTCATCTGGAGGCAGAGAGTTTGACAAGAGAGGAAGAGAAAGCCTCCTCCTACTCTTAGGATTGGCTATATTATGAATTAGATTTTCTTAATATTATCTGGTCACTATACTAAGTCACTATTCAATAAATTTTTATGGAAAATAGTTTTCCTGAAAAGTTCAAGTAAATAAACAAGCTTAATACTTATTGGGAATATCCAGTATTTTCTTTTATCATATCCAACATTTCAGAAAAATACTTGATACATGTTTTATATCATTTTTTTCATAACAGCATGATATTAAGTAAAATGTATGAATTAGGTAAAAATGTCAGATATATTTAAACCCAAAACTGTCTGAATTATTTATGTGAAGTAATTGAATTTTTTCCATCTTCTGATTTGATGCAGATGAAATCCTAATTTTAAAACGACGCTTACCTCCATTCATTTATGATGGTGCAGACAAGGTAAGAATAGATATTGTATTCAACTTAGAAATTTTTATTTAAGAAATTTCAAGATTGCTAATTTGTGTATATTTTATCAAATATTTAAATTTACTAAGATGATGAATGCTTGTGTTTGGTTGATTCTTTTTTCACATTCAAATAGAATACCTGGAATATTGTTTGTGAAAAGAGACAGGCAAAGATCTGTCATGTGCCAATTTAACATTTTGAAAAATATTTTTCACAATGACTAAATTCTTTTATTAGTTTTGTAATTGTCATATAGTTAACAGATTTTCTCATGGGACAAAACCAAACAATCTGTTACTAGATGCTTCTATATGTATTTTTTTATTACTCCTATTGCTTACTGATGTATATGAGCTGTTGAAAAGTTCTTGGCTCAGCCGACTTCCCCAATTCTGACCAAATATCAGAACATTAATTTTTTTTTTATTGAACTGAATTAAATTGGTTCATAATCATACATTAGAATTTTTTTTTCACGTAGAAAATCCACAAATATGCAGCAAATCTTAAATTCTTGTCTAAAGTCTTGAATTCAAAAGTAAACACTATAATCTAAAACTTATCTATAGAGGTGTGTATTGGGTTGGCCAACGAGTTTGTTCTGTGTTATTAGTTAAAAATATATGCTTCTCGTGCAATATTAAAAAGTTCACTTTCAGCTGTATTGTGACAAATATCATTTTAAAAAAAAAAGATCAAAAGTGGTGTGTTTTGTTTTTAACATTGAAAATGGAAGAAAAAGCAAATTGTTTTTTTTTTTTTATATTTTAAGAAAAGTAAAAATGTGACACAAATGCAAAAATAAATTCTGCAGATAAAGTACTGTGAATGATTGCAAGTAATTTGCAAAGTTTTGTGTAGGAGATTTCTCCCTGAACTGATTTCTCCACGGTCTGGTAGACCAGTTGGTGTTAATAGTGATGAAATCAAGATATGAGAATAATTATACACTGTAGGAAATAGCCAACATACTCAAAATATTCATATCAAGCATTGAAAATCATTTGCACTAGTTTGATTGTGCTGATTACATTGAAGGGAAAAATGTATTGGGCTGTATTTCCTTGTGCAATGTAAATTGTTTTTTTGTTTTTTTTTTTGTTTTTTTATGTTTGTTTTCTTCATTTTTTAAAAATAAATCATGATGGACAATGAAAAGTGAATACTTTCCATTAACATAGATTGTGGTGTGCCACCACTGGGTTAAAGAAGGTGCTGGTATTGGCAATATTCAAAGGCAGTCTCTCTACTCAAAGCTCCTGGAGAAGCAAATAATTAATTTGAACAAGTACTTCTCCCAATTAGGCAGCAGTCTATGAAAAGTGTCTGGAATTAGTTCTGTGAAAGCACATAATATTCTATCAGGATATTCCAATCATTACAGAAATTTCTTAATGAAATATATTTTAATTCTCTAGAAGATTGCAAAAAGCACCTAGAAGAATTCTTTGATGAGAACGATAAACAGTTCTGGGAGGATGGAATTATGAAGTTGCCTGAAATAAGGCAGAAGATAATGGAACTAAAGGGTAAATATGATTTTTAAATCAAGGTAATGTCAAAATAAAAATATCCTTTTCTTTTTTTCTTTTAATAAACTGAATGAATTTGTTTGGCCAGCCATAAATTTAATTTCAGTTACTGGAGGATAAAAAGATAATAGGGAAGCAATTTAAAATTGGTGAAATAACTTAATGAAGATATTTTAAAAAAATTTATTTCACTTTTTTGCATCTTTAAAATAACATCTGCCTGTAACTTTGGCACATGTTTTGAATGGACATATAAAGAAAAAAAGCTATTTAACATTTTGGATAATGAGCTTAGCTATCTTGTGAAAATATTCAATTTTGGTCATTGGGAATGTGTGTGTGAAAATTATTAAATTCTGATGAATTTTGCCAATTTTTTTTTTTTTTTTTTTTTTTTTTTAAACATTTCTGACTGCTTTAGTTATATTAACTTGATCTATTTTTTTTTTTTTTTTTTACCAGAAGGAAGAATCTCGAAAAGGTCCAAACTCGGACATCATCAACAAGGCTACAGCAGGTTTGGCTCCTAGTAATGCGGAATTTCCAGTTGAAAAAACTGTAAATGGTGGAGATGTAAGTTTTTATTTTATCTACAATTGTATAAAGTTTTCATCAGTATTTTTCTCTACTTGCAAGGTTCTTTAAGTTAATGTTATAAATATTAGTTCAATGAAGTTTGAACTAAACTTTTTTCTCCACTTACGCATTATAACCCCTTTGCCTGTCACCAAATGATAATAATATGTGTGTGTGTGTATATATGTATGTGTGTATTTATTTATTTTACTGCACTAAATATAACCTATTGTGCTTGTAACCAAATACAGCACACCTGTGTGATTCTTGAATATCATACTGGCAGGGATGAGGAGTTATCATGATTTATATAAGGACTATAATTCCCGTCTAGTTATAATATTTTGGCTGTTGTACATTCTGGCCTTCATCTGGTAACTGATCTCAATTGAATCCTTCATTTAATCTACAGGGGTAGAATATTCCTTTTCTGCAGTCCATGTCATGAATGAAATAGCCTAGTTATATATTAATCAAAAGGGATTTGTAGATCTAATTCACTTGATTAAAATGTCATTTTCCAGGTCCAAATAGTCAGCACAAAGGTGGTTCACCAATGTATTGAGGATGGTGTTTAATTTTAAGTTTTTCTGTTTGTATATTCTTTTCTTTAAATCTTTAGATATTTTGCTGATGCATTCATGTTAATTTGAACTGATACCAATTACTGATATGAAATTAAATGTCTGTTATAAGTCACCAAATGAAATTTTAAGAATTTAGAATTTGTAGCCCTAAATACCTACCCGACATGTCATTGTCTTAGTTATTTCATATACAATGCCAAAAGAAAAGTGTACAAAACTAAAATAAAAAAGAATGTATGAATGACAACACAAAATCTAGGCTCATTTTCCTACCTGAAAATTCCATAACTAATTTTAAAAAATTTAGCTAATCCTTATAAAAATTATCACAGACACTTTAAAAAGCAATCAAAAATTTTATTAATGTAAAACATTTAACTTTATATCAGAAGCAGGAGTACCACGAAAGAGTGTAAATAGTGCTAGAAATATATCTATGAAAACTCCTTAGATTTAAAGAAAAATATATATAAATGTAAATGGCTTAAAATTAAATAATGCACATTCCATTTGACATGGAAAATGCCATTTTTAATAGTGAATATAATTTCCACAGATGAAGATGTATTGAAAGTATCATGATCTATAAATTCCTTATGACTGGGATATTTCATTTTATCCTCTCTTGTTATTAAATTACTACAGAAATATGAAACGCGAATTTCTTCCTTAACTTTGATTAACTTTATCTGCAATTTATATCCGTTTAGATCTCCCATTGGATCATACTTGACAGGAAAACCTCTATTCACTTCTTGCATAAGAGTCTTTGCCTTCTCAGCAGTTAATGATATTTTTCTTTCTCAGATCCCTACCAACAGGTAAACAGAACTGAATGTGAAGACCTCACAAGTTGTAATATTTAGGAAATGCTTAGCCTACATCCTCTGACCATAAGAATTTAGCATTTATTAAAATCATTAAAATTTTTCTTTCTTAAAACTGGGATATCCAACACTTCAAAATGAAGTACACAAAGCTGGTTTACTGGCCTGTATACCTCTGACCTGGGTATAAGCAGTTGTTACAAGGTAGTAGTTGTCATTATATATAAGTGTATATATTTCTCTATTAAAAAAAAAAATTAACCACAACTTTTAAAAAATAATAGGTAATAAACATTAAAAATAGATTTATATATCTTTTTTATTGAATTGATTGATATTATTAATGGGAAGAATGTTTGATGGGCAGTATCAAGAACATTGATATTTAGTTTGAATTTGTTGAGTTTTAGTCATAAGTCACCATGATTTATTTATCAACCTCTTTTAATTTCCCACTAAGCATTTATTGAAGAAATAATCCCATCAACCCCTAGGGGTCACTTGTTCTAAAACATCTTTCAGAAGCATTGTTGAAAAACTCTGCTTTCATCACTAATAATTAATTGGGAAAACTAGTTCTCATTGTCAATTTTTTTATATATTTATTTATATATTTTTGTTAGCATGATTTCTGGATTGAAAATTCTGTTCACTCTTGCCAACCAACTGCCTAGACATGTTTTTTTTTTAAATTCCTCAGTTTAGAATTGAGGATTATTATACATGGCTATACCTAATTTTATTCTCATTTTTATGCTTTTTCGTTATGTTATTGCCATTGATTTTTTTTTTTTGTGTTCAGTAACCTTTCTCCATAAATGTTAAATATTTAGGTAATACTAAATAGAGAAACTAGTAAAAGTTGAACCTAGTGGATATGGTTATAGAATTTTCATGGTGTAAGTTAAATAGAAGCTTGTTGAGGATACAAAGGTTTAATATTTGGAAAAGGAAGAAAAAGTTTATGTAAACAAGGTTTACAACTTTAATGTCTTTCAAGGAATTTTTGTATGGGTTTTGTTAAGTAGAAGTGGGGATTTAAAAATGATAGGTTCTCAAGGAATTTCAGATTTGTTTTTTTATTTTTTTATCTCACAATTGATATAAAAAAAACATTTTTATCAATCATACAGAACATATTTTGTCATTATTAGCAGTAATTTATAATTTTGTTAAGTATGAATATTTTTCCTTTTTTTAAACATGGCTTCTTTGTGCTGTGTCTCTTCAGGACATTGGTGATCATGGCTCTCCACAATTTTCTGTCCTTTGTAGCTCTTAATAAATTTTGTCTTTGTTATCTCCCTTAAACTTGGTTCTGCTATCCATTTACTCAAGCTCATTAGATAGATTATGCATTGTTTTCCTCTATCCCTCTAGCCTTCAATCTGTCCTTCATTATGTGACCTAGAAATTTCAATTATCTCTCTCTGATGTTAAGTATAAGATTTTCAGTATTTTTTTTTTTTTCCCCCATTTTCTCTAAAATGTCATCATTGTTCACATGTTCAATACATGGTATTCTCAGCATCCTTCTGTAGAACCACGTTTCTGTTGCTTCAAGTATATTCTTCATCTGTAAGGATTGTCCAGCATTCGCTGTCAGATAGGAAGACTGATATTATGTAACAGTTCAGTATTATTTTGTACCTAATGAAATTTTTCTGTTTCTTAGTATCACGTTGGAGCAAAAGTAATGTCTGATTTCAAGGTCTATATTAAAAATGAAAAAAACCTATGATTATGAAAATATTTATTCATTATTATAACTTACTCTGCTTTCTATAACATCATTCCATCTGTCAACAATCTTATAAAAGCCATGCCTGTAAAATTCCTTAGGTTTTTGAAGATAAATATGAATCCAACTCATTTTCAACCTCTTCTCTTGATGTCAACCTAAGACCATCCAAATGATTCTGTAGTCCCTGAAACCAGTAATAATCAGCAGTAAGCTCAGGAGAATTTGGTGGATGAAGCAATATTCCTGAATCAAACTCTTCTAAACGATTTTTAATCAACCAAGCTGTATGAGTATAAGCTTTATTGTGATAGATGATGACTCACTTTCTGTTCACTAAGGAAGGTTACTTTTGGTTCAAAGCTGTTTTCAGACAACAAAGTTGATCAAAGTACAAATTAGCAATAATTGTTTGATTTTTGTTTAACAGTTTGTAATGGGCAATTCCTTTAATATCCCACCATACCATTTATAATTTGAAAGAGAAAGGTATAAATTATTGTGGCATTCCTTAACTATAATAAGAAGCACAAATACTATCTAAAACTTTCTTAAGAAATTTGACATTACTTTTCACCTACCTGATACTTTGCTTAGCTTTTGAAAGGCACTTTCCACTATCCCGATGTACCTTCGATTGCATTTGTAGACAATTTCTTGAGTTGAATCAGTTTGTGTTGAATTGGATTACATTGAACCTTAGTCGTTAATTGAAAATTCTTTTACTTTACAGTTTCAAGCTGAATTTAGGAAAATTTTAATTACTCTAATTGAAGCTTCACAGAAAATCCTTTGTTTGAATCCAGAAGCCTCTAAAATCTTCAAACACGCTGAAGGTATGCATTGCTTGTTTATTATATTTATAACTTGTTTACATAAACAAAAACTAGAACCTTATCTGTTTATGTGTCATGCTATTCTATAAGGTTGACTTAATTTCAATTTGTTTACAGATTCTTCTAATCCTTTCTAGTTTATAAAATTTTGTCATTCAAGCATCATTTAAGGTTATTACTTATTTAAATAGTTTCTATATTTTTTTTTTTTCAACACATTAAAATCTTAATTTATAGTTTATTTACAAAGAAAATAATTTACAGATTTTGTCCTATATTTCTTTCTTTTTAATTATTTTATTCTATTAATGCCCACTGTTCCATTTTTGGGTGTTGGTGAAAACTATAATCAATACCAGATGATTTTTTTTTTTTTAACCTGTAATTAAAACTGGATTTTTTTAAAATGTGGTAAGTTAAAAATATTTTTATTTCCTTCAGAGATCAGTAACCAATATGTACCGAGTGCCTCCAAAATAGATGAAAATGCTTTGAAAAAGCTAACGGATATGGGATTTCCTACCAACAGAGCACGTAAAGCGTTGTTTCTTAATAAGTGAGTATTTTATGTTTGTTGCAGTAAATTGTCTTTGATTGAATATTTTAATTCTTAGCTTTATATAGTTCATCATATTTCAAGACTTATACTTTTAAATACTCTTTGTATGATAAAATTTTATTTGCTTTTGTCTTTAATTACTTTAACATTTAGAAAAAATATTGAGTAAGTGACATCACAAAAAGCAGTGAATTTTTTGGTATAAAATTTCAAATGCGATTAAATGTGTAAAAGTTTGGAAATTTTATTTAAATCTTATTCAGACTCACACAAGCTAATTTTATTTTATTTTTTTTTCATAGTCTTGTGTAGTTATACAAAATTGTCTTAATCATCTTTAAAATTTTAGGCTATTTCTGCAAAAAAATATTAGCTTCTTTAAACATTCAGTTATGGAATTATGGTCTCTTGAAATTTGGTGACAATTTTTACTGATTTTAAAATAGCATGATTTGGCAACTTTGCATTCTAAGATACCAAGTTGATATTTGGTAGTTCTATAGTCTAATACTTGGAGAAAACACCTGTTTTATTTCCTTTAAAAAGGAGGGAAGTTGCTATTTTTTTGTGTGTGTGTGTGTGCCATCCATAAGAAGCTAAACCATTAGTAATAAAATAAAAAAGAAAGTTGATTATAATCATGTGATGATTTGCCTTGTGAAAAACGTTGAAATATCTGTTTTACGGCAGTTACATGTTTCCGAGTTGACAAATTTTTGCAACTCTCACCTCTCAAAAAAAATCTAATTTTAGGCCTTTGAAAGATTGGCAAGTAGTGTAGATAGTTGAATTCAGGATTTATACTTTGCTCACTTATAGATCAATCCCTTATTTTTCACTCAAAGATTAAAAATCCTTTATTTAATGCTAACTTCATAAACCCACCATCAGAAATGAAAAAAATTTTGCTTTAAAATTCAAATCTATTTTGACCCATAGAATCTATGGTAAAGTGAATTTAATATATTCTTACTTTTAGAATATTCAGTCTCAATCAGGATTTTATTGTCTGACTGATTTCGAAGTCATTCACACTCTGGCTCTCCAATCCCAAAATTGGTGAAGACTCCTCTCCATTATTTATTTATTTTTCTCTCTCTCTCTCTCTCTCTCTCTATCTATATATATATATATATATATATATATACACACACGCCACCACTCCATCTCTTGCTTCTTAGTAGGATTTTTTTTCACTTTCATATTTAATTTACTTAATATCCTAAAGATTTTCACGTATACACACACACACATATATATATATATATATATATATATATATATATATATATATATATGTGTGTGTGTGACTTTCCTTTCCCACAGATTCAATATATGAGGATCAAGCAGCTCAGTTCCTAGGAACCAATGACCAGACACCAGCACATATGATTTGATTATAGTGGGGAAGGCTTTGTGCAGAACCAATCACGCACATTTTGAAGGGCTGAATACAGAGACCTGTGGCACAAGTTCCCCAATTGACCCTCTGCAGGTTTTGAATTCAAAGTTGTCCTTCTAGACCAGTTGCCATCCATGGCTATAGAAACCAGTCTGTCCTATTTACCCACAGCTGGAGGGAGAAGAGGAGGAGGAGTAGTACTTTTCCCAGGGGTATTAGCATGTAAGTGAATGTAATGGATTCGACTGAAATTCAAACTCGGCTCTTCAATTCCTCAATCCGAGCTGCTATCTACTACTTCACTGTGCCTCCTTTCTCATATAAAATATATATTGCCATTTATGCTCTAGATTTCTTCAGGTGATATTTGTTGGAATTTCAAACTGAGTCCTTATAGTCCATGGGATTAGAGTGTTCTAATTTTATGTGCCATACCTTTGGTTATTTCATTTTCAGTTAATTTCCCTTGATAACTCAACTCTCCAAGTTTTTGTTCCATCTGCTGTGGTCAGGTATTGAAGTCACTTTTGGAATAATCAATCAACGTTTTTATCCAATGGGCCATGTGTCTTTTATTTTTGAAACTTACAAACCTTGGTAACTACTTTTTTTTTTAAACAGAGGTCATATTACATTTTCTTTTTTCCCCACCCACCCCATTCTTTTTTATAGAATGAATTTTCTGTTAGCAATGGATTGGTTGTTGACACATGAATCTGATCCTGACATTGATGCTCCATTGAGTGATGAAGAGGAAGGAACAGAAGATCATGTTGAAGATGATCCAGAAGAAAATAAAGAGGTAGATTTTTCATTTTAAAACAATTCTTTTTCACATGAAGCTTTTTGCTGCTTCAGAGTAAATCAGTTTGATTTAAATTGTTTGTCATGAACCTTCAGCAATCATCTGAATGTTGTAGGAAAAGAATTTCTTCAAATATTTCATTTTCATTTTTTTTTTTTTTTTTTAATTGTATCTGAACTGTTTTTCTTGTTAAGTGTTATTATTTTGATAAATCTAGGTGAAATGTTTTAAATTAATATGATACTTAAATTCAGTGGAGTGTATAGAGATAGCATTCTATATTTTAATGGTATATCAGTTAAAGAAATAATCAAAGGATTGTAACAAACAGTTTACTTTTTACACAAATAAAACATGTTTTCCTATTGTTATATAAGTAAGATTAATTAGACATTAAGTATTATAAACTTTTTATAGAGGCATAAATTAACTATAATAACAAAAATAATTTACTTGGTTTAAATATTGATATGTGATATAAATATTTTAATGATAAATCAATTATTAGAACAGATGAATTGCATCAACAGAAAAAATAAAAAGATGTAATAATATTCACTAAGTGTGGAAAACAAAAATAAACTTCATATTAAAAATCCTTACATTTTCTCTGAAGTTATGTTAAAGAGTGCAGATTATAGAATATTTGGCGTAAGTTATCTTGCCATTTATTTAGAATTGAAGTTACTGTTCAGCAAAAACTTATTTTATCAGTTTATTATTGTAACCATAAAATATCAATGATGGATATTAGATAAAACTTGGTCTTAGAAAACATTTACTAAATTTAGAATCTACTCTGTTAAATTTTAATTTTTAATTTGTTTACTTTTAAAACCTTGAAGTAATTTTTTCTACTTCATCTCAAATACTGCCAATCAGGGGCGGAGATGGGACTAGTGCTACTCGTGCCCGGCACGACCAATAACTCGGTCAATGTTATTCAAAATGGATTAAAAATCATCCATTAATTTCAAGCAAACATACTTAGGCTGATCTCAATTAAATTACGTATCTATTCAAGTTTCGATAACTAAGTAGCCAAAAGTTCATAAATATATCTGGGAATAATACAACGATGCTGTTTTGAACGGATGGCCACCGTCAGATCTATTGAACATCCCATAATATCGGCTATAATGTTGAACACGCGCAATCCGTGCCAAGCACAAGAAAAGCTTATAATAACAAGTAATGTTAGAGAAATCTCGCTTTTGGCTGTAGCCAATGGTGGCAAAATCAAGTCGAAATACCGTGCTCAGAACAATTAGCACATTGTGACTGCTGATGATTGTCTTGGAAAGAGAGAGAGACCGAGAGAGAAAGAGAGATAGAGTAGTAGTAGTAGTAGTACGAATAGATGTTTGTAAACATAACCACGTTTATTTATATTGTAAATATCAGTGATGAAGTTATTGTTTCATTAATTAATTAATAAAGAACAGGTTTTGAATAAGTTTTTTTTTTTTATTGAGGAATGTTTTTTTTCGTGAATTTTGAATCATAGAAATCTACGAAAAATACTATTAATATAAAATAATAATATTAATATAAAATGACATACAAACCGTATTTTTCGTAGATTTCTATGATTCAAAATTCACGAATAAACCATTCCTTAATAAAAAAAACGATTGTGAAGTGCTAATAAAAAATCAATCATTTAATTATTTTATAATTCCATGAGACAAATGACCTGGAGAGTTGTGGACTTAATTGCTAACCTGGTTAGTTGTCATTGTCATCAATTTCTTTTTTCTAATAAAGATATTTTTCTCGTCATAGTAATGAACATCTTCTCTTTTCTTCTATACTTTTGAAAGGAAAAAAAAACTTATCTACTGTATTAACAAGACTACAAATTATATAGTATCTTGATTGTTTACAAAAAACCACCATGCAAGGTACGTTAGTCAATCTGTGCTATACAATGGAGAATCACGCAATAGCAACTATGATGACTTACTTTGGGTCCACGGACCACGGGTTGGGAACTGAAGTTGACAGAGGGGGGGCACGAGTAGCAAAAATAGGCTAGAGTCGCCACTGCTGCCAATATAGATAATTACTCAGAATCAACTATAAACTTGTTTTATGTTCAATTTCTTTTTCAGTTTACTAAGGCACATGGCCAAATATATTGTAACATAATCTAAGTGGAGAGAACCTGCTAGTCTAGAAAATTGGCATCCACAGTACTAGCTATTACTTCTGCTCAAGCACTAACTTCTAATGGATAATTATTTCCACCATTGAATTTTCTTCTTGATTTTTAAACATTGTGTTTCTTTTGCAGTATTTCTACTAATTAAATCTCTATCTTGTGAAATTTGGTCATCATAGCTGTTTGAGGTTTCCTATAGCCCCACTAAGCTTAAATAAAGTCAATTCAAGTCTGCTATGGTAAAAATTTTCTATCCCAAGTATAAATCATCACAAAAATAGCAAAAATCATTTTGTCACAGCCTATTTTCTCTGAAAAAATGGATTTTCATACTTTTATAGTGGTAAAATATTGAAAAATGTCTGTTTTGTCATCATCTGAATAAAATATCAAGGAAACTTTTGATCTGAACCCCATGAAACTAGGTATTTTCTGAAAGCAAACAATGTTTCATTTAAAAATAAAATTGGCTGGTGTATTTGACTCAAAAAAATTTTTCAGAGGGTAAAATGTGAAAAAATAGTGAAAATTTTGCATTTTTTCTAGTTCTAAACAAAACTTTTCCACAATAATGGGAAATTAGCCTTTTTTTTTTTTTTTTGAAAATCAGAAAGTAAATCATAATCAAACAATTTCAGCCATAAAATTGAGTTTGAAGCAAAACAATATTCTCAGGGGGTCAAAAATAAGGCAAAATCTTCAAAAATTTCAATATTTCAATCTATTATCTGGTGAAATGTCAATCATAATTCCATGAAAGTAGGTATATACTGAAAGCAAACAATATGTTCTTTCATTTAAAAGTAAAATTGGCTGGTGTAAAGGAATTAATTTTTTTTCAGGGTATAAAATATAAAAAAAAAAATAGTGAAAATTTTGCATTTTTTTCATGTTCTGAAAAAAAAAAAAATTCACCAATAACAGGAAATTAGCCAGTTTTTTTTTTTTTTGGATAATCATAAAGCATAAATAAAAAAAAAAGACTATTTCAGGTGTAAAATTGAATTTGAAACCAAACAAAAAAAAAAACCTAGGGTGTCAAAAAATGCAAAATCTTCAAAATTTGAAATTTTTATCATTTTAGTTCATTATCTGGCCAACTATCAGTCATAACCCTATGAAAGTAGGTATACTCTGGAAGCAAACAGTATTTTCTTTTATTTACAGGTAAAATTGTTTACTTGTAAATAACTCAAAATTTTTTCATGGGGTAAAATGTGAAAAATAGTGAAAATTTTCCATTTTTTTCTTGTTCTAAACAAAAATTTTCCCCAATAACAGGAAATTAACCAATTTCTTTTGAAAATCAGAAAGCATAAATTGATCAAATCATAATTGGAAACTGTCAACTGAATGCTACTTTCCAAAGTTTTTTTCTTTCAAGTCTGTGGGACATGAATCATTTTGAGATTGTGTGACAAAACACAAACACTGTAACCAAAAAGGTGCTTAACAGCAAATGGGAACAAATGAAGACAAGTCAAGAATTTTTAGAACAAACTTTTTTTTTTTTTTTTTTTTTTTAAATTGAATGTTTTTATGACAAATATTATTTTTAGATTTTACAAGAAAAACACTTCAATGAAGCAGATGATGATCCTGCTTGAATCGAGTCAATGCAACCTCACACTCGGTTAAGAGCATCCGGATGCAGATGGTTCATTCAGACAAGAACAAACACCACCTCTGTAAAAGTCATTGCAAGTTTTACACTTTTTGGAAACAGGGACAACAACAGACCTATCCACTTCACCTTTAAGGGTAGGCTTACTTATTAGCAACTCTTGTTTTAAACCAGGGTCCATGACACAGGCATATGTACGCTGATCTTTTTTTATGAAGTGATGCAAACTCTCCCCACCTTTCTTGCTGAAAAGTCCGACATTTTAATGAATTCTGGCCAAATGAGGAAGATGAAAAATAAAATCATGGAGTTTTACATTGATCGTTTCTGATGGAAAATAGATGGGAAATTTTTCTCCCATTTTCTTACAACAAAATTCCAGATCATCCAGCTGATGATCACTCAAAAATGTTCGTAGTACCATGATCTGATGGGCCTTTGAATACACTTCAAAAAGTTCTGTCAAATGGTGGTCGACATCAGAATACTGAGGGGACAAGACACTGCAAAGTTTAAAGTTGCAAATTCCAGCCTTATCCTTGGACAAAATAACTTTGCAGTGATTGCCAACAGAAAGGCCACTGTGGTGTGCCTGTCTTTTTATGTCCATTTCCTGTAAGATTTGATCAATTTTTTTTTTTCTGTTGGCCCCCACTGTGTTTTCCAGTTCCTGTTCAATCAACGAAATGGTGTCAGAGAGTTGTTTTAAATGAGAATAAGCTCACTGTACAATTTTTTGATGTTTTTGACATCTATTTTCAGCTGCAAATTTGATAGGAAGTCCCCGACATTTGAGACAAGTGTATTCAACCTCAGACATGGCACTTGTCTTCATCCGAAAGACCCTCACACATCATGTGTTGCCACTGAGCACATGAGTCACACATAACCCAGTCATCTCTGTATGAATCAGTGTCATATTTTTTGACAAGGCAGATTTCTGCTCCACATGATTGAAGAATATCTGAACTTTTTTTAGGGTGCTTCCCTCTTTTCCCACTCATTGCCTTTTTGGCTAGTTCTAGTTTGAGCGTTGCCAACGCCCTGCTTTTATGCTTCTCCATGATTTCAAGATGACTGAGAACATTTTGGATGTCCAGAAGACGCTTGCAGTACCCCTCATGTTCACTCTGGGCCACCTGTTTTTCTGCAAGCACATCCCTTTGTCTCTGTTCAAGTTCCAAAATTTTCCTTTCAACTTCTGGGGTA